ACAAGCATCATTGGTAGATTAGCACTGCCGGCTTCACATCTATCAATTTAGATAGTATTTATATACCCAAATCGAAACAAATATATTGTTGGCACACAGTAATACTAGCTTTTTCTTCACATGTATTAGTTTCGACAATCTTATCTGCAGTTCTTTTCTTCATCCCTTTAATTCAAAATTTCCCGCTGTGCATTAATTGTTTTTTATGCATATTTCATTTTCAGATTGAACAGATTATAAGATGGGCTCACGGGAAGAAAAGCATTGCTGATATCAGAGTGTACGAGTCAAAATTATTGTCTATTGGACGTGACGGAAAATTACGAATTTGGCTTATAGGTCGGCATGAACATTTGTGCTTTTGGGAGGTGGGAGAAGGGGGTGGGCGAGGGGAAATTGTCGCCGAGACTAGTCTTTGGGGTTTTTGTTTTTGAAATTAGTATTGTCATTTTTTATTTTAGAAGATCACATTCAACTGCTGTTCTGGCGTCGACCATCATCTGCCATAGAAATGGAATGGCCTTGCAAATTTGTCGATTTGTATAACGAACTTTTTATTGCTGGATTTCATGGGGTAAAAGTCTCATTGAAATTCAAGAAAAATGAAAACTTTTGAATTTAGGAAATTCTTCTGATATCGTAAAATTTGTCAGTAGAGTTCTGATCTACGGGGTTCAATCAAATACTGCCTATAGCTGTGCCATACTGGTATACTTACAATGAATTTACGTTAGTTCATTAGGTTGCAGCCTCCAGATCAGTTAGCACACAGATTAAGCCGTTTTGCTGCTTACTAGTTTCATTTCCGAGTTCGATGCCATCATTGAATTTGATATCCATTCATTCCGCTGTCAGAATTCTTTCTCTTCCGCCACGCTGTTTTTGAATATTTTGCTGCATAAACACAGCTTGAAAATCTTCTAGTTCTGACGATGAAATAACAGATTTGAAAGCGATAAGGATTACGGTCCGGGTTAGCTTTAGCTGTGCTTGCGGATGACATAACAGGAGAATGAATGGAGACTTGGAGATTTTGGGAAGTTTATATAGGTTTAGTCAAAGACGGGATTGGAGAGCTTCGAATGGAGGTTAATGGGGGAAAGGGGGCAAGGAAGAATTTGGAATCAAATTGTGGGACTGACCCTCCATTGCATAAGGATATTTAGAAGTCACTGGAAATGTTGATCATGAAATCTCAAAAGTAAAAGTATTAATTACGTAAGAATAAGAATTCGATCAGCTAATTTTTTTTTGAGCGATACTTCTTCGCCTGATGATCAAGCTACTGGCGATCCTTGCATTCATTTCGTCTCTTAACAACATATTGGCTTAAGTGAGAAGAATAACAGCTTTTTTTGTAGAAAAATTTCCACCTGGTGCATTATGAAACGGAGCACTGTGTTTGTGAACTTGCATGTGGTGGTGGACATCGATCATGGCAGTTATCAATACCTCATGAAAGTACTGATCGTTTTGATGGGCCAAACTTTGTGTATTTCGAATTTGTTATAAAAGGAAGAATTTCACGAATTCTGGTCCCGTTGAATCAACTGCGCATCGTTAAGGTTTGTTTTTTTTTTTTTGCGTTAATCAACGTATCGCTTCATTCCAGTATCATTGAGGAATTCATGGGTTGTAATCTTGATAATTCTGATGATTTTTGTTACATTACAGCCACATTTGCATTTATCCAGTATCACATCTGTAGCGACTTTTAAGTGTGGCATGGAGGAATTTTATGTGACTGGCGGTATTGATGCGATGCTTGTCATCTCGCAGTTTCGAAGCACAGGTTCAGATTAGTTTTCATACCTATTAGGATAGCTGTAATTCATACCTGGGAACTGAATTTGAAATCTTTAAGTTCAGAGTTGACGGAGATATCCCCTTAAAATTTCATCCTTCTGTCTGGTTCTCCACCTGCTGCTCTGATCAATGCTGCATTCCTGGTGATAGTCTGGTGACGATCCTGACATTCGTCTCCTTTCCAGAAGAGTTTGCAGTTTAATGATTCCCCCACACAAGAACTTGGCATGGCTTTAGCCATTTTACGATATCGCTGGTGTATGCTGAGCATCTCAGTGACTTCACTGTGATACCTTACCATCTGGGAATTGCTTTACATATTTCAAATTTCGACGCTTAATGCTAAAGTATCCATGTATTGTGAAATCAGTAGCAAAGCCCGGAGAGACCCCAGGACTAACAAGCTTTAGCTATGGATATTAAATAAAGTGAAATGTATTTCAGGATCCGTAGAAGTGATACAGCGTTTACCAGTACATTCATCGTCCATTTATGCTCTCTGCGCGAGAGGAAATTATCTCATTTCAGCTGGCGGAAAATCGGAAATTTTCATTTTCCATTTACATGCCGGTATTTTTCATTCAAAGTTTGAAATAGTTGTCGCGGAAAACCCGCGAAAAGCCTGCCTAGAAGCCGCCACAAAGAAAAGGAGAAAGAAAGGGAGGTGCGCAGTAGATGTGCTACCAGGCTGAACCTGGAACAAAAGGACTGGTAGTGTAGTGGTAACACATTGCATCCGGACGTGAAGAGGAGTGGTTCGATCCCTTCCCGGTCCAGAGCGATTTTTGGAGAAAGGGTTCCGTTTACGCCAACAGTGTTTTGTAAACTCAGGTTGTTTGAAGAAAAGTTTTTCCAGCGAATGATTGCTGTTGCCCGTTTTATTGCTAAGGTTACATTCCAGCGCTTCATGCTGTTCTGGAAAGTGAGTATGAGAGAAGAAAAGTTGACTTTTGGTCGTTTTATTTTCTTCATATAGATCGTTTTTCAGGAAACTTGCGGCAGGTATTCAATATGCGCTTGAAAGGTGACTGCCGATTGTTGAGTATTCAATTGTTAGCTGTCACCCCATGCATTCAGTTTATCGTCTCAAGCTCTGATGGGAGATTATTGTGAGTCCTTTCTTCTGTATCGTTTTTATACTGCTTTTTTATTTGGATTTTAACCTAAAATCTTATTTCTTTGTTTTTTTTTAAATTATTGTTGCATAAAAACACATTGTGGTGAACACAAAAACACATTCATTTCGTGTTCCCCTGACCCTATCGTCTTGGCTGAACTCGAGAATTACGAAAGCTAGGAAGCCGAATTTCTGGAACATAGTCCCCGACTACGTGTGGGAACGTAAAATTATATATATATACATATATATGTACATATATATACACATATACGTACATATATATATACATATATATGTAATTTTACGTTATATATATATGTATGCATATATGTATACATGTATATATATAGATAGACAGGTATAAAATTATGTTAAAAAATATGGATGAGCAGGAATCTTTCAGCCTATCAGTTCGTAGTCATTCCTATTTAGCACTACAGCTGGACATTCTGCTGACGTAGACATCCCATTGACGTATCAAATTTTCAGGTTTTATTCGTTGACCGATGATTTGAAGGCTACAGAACATTGTGTGGCTCTCATTGATCCTTTGACTAACCCTGGTATAATCACAAAGATTGCTACTAGCTCAGTGAACAGTCCTGTACCAATAATTTCATGTGCTGCTATTTCAACAGCAGGTCTGTTCTATTTGTGGGAAAATGTTAACGATTTTGACAAAAATCCGGATATTATTGAAGTAGAGAAATGTGGATTAAGCGCATTGGATATATACGCCAAAGATGGTCAGTTTTTGTTATTCAGTTCCTTTTTTAATAACAAAATTTTGTGTTTTTTGCATAAATAAGTGTGAGATAAGTGTAGCTGAATTTAGTGTTTCATGAATATCGCATTCGTGTGGATAATCGGTGTGAGGATCCCTTGTTAGGGAAGAAGAACTTATATCTGTTCGACCTAATAATAATTGTAGCTCAGGATACTTAATAATACTTACATCACTTCTCATATGATGCTTGGCTGGAGGACTGTTTGCTTATTGTAGCTTATTTTTACATGAAAGTTTCCAGGGAAATCTAGTTAAATTATCAGGACGGTGTATTCCTGTTATGGTGATTGCCATGAAATAAGAAATCACCTCTGGCATGAGTTCTGATAAAGTTTTGTTAGGTAGATAATCACTGTGATGGAGAAATCAGATCAATGCAATCCGAGACAAGAAGTGAATGATTTCTACATCAGTAGCATAAGAAATATGATCGATTCAGCGTTTTTTTAGGAATGCTCTATGTTGGTATAGGCTCAGAATCGGGTTCTATTACCGTATTTCAAATGGAAGACAAACAAAAATTTAAAAAATGCACGAATCGTTGGCACAGCGCAACATGTACAGGTATTTTTTTTGTTTCTTTAAGAAAAATAAAGAAAAATTTTACTTCTGATTCTTTTTAAGTGTTCGCAAAACGGATGGAATTACATTGTTTGAACTTGAGTTTATTGGGTACTTATCAGGCTGGATCTCCTGATTGGACTTAAAGGTGGCAGAGTGTGACCCTTGGATTCTGTGATCCATTTTTCTGATCATCAGAATGAGCCCTTTCAACGCATTGACAGCTTTCTGCTTGTCCTTTTGACATTGCATATGTGCTATTCAGTAATCTGCCTTGTTCGTAACTGGCAGTAGTTGATTGGCCCGACTTTTCCCCTGGCATACATTGTCTTAACAAAGTCGCCCATTCTAGGCCGTAAAGAAGGGGGAGGGGGGAAAATCCGTAATATTAAGAAGCAAAGGAGATGGGTTCTTTTTGATCGTACTTGTTTAAGAAATGACTCATTTGCATATTAGTTCAAGTAATTGCCGTTTTTTTTTCATCAGATCTGCGATTTCATCAAACTTCGGAATCATTTTTGGTGATCTCAGTTGCACTGGATTGCAGACTGGCAATATTTAGTTACTCTTTTCCAGGAAAGGTTCGCTTTTTGCTTTTCCGTTATTCATATTTAGAAATGTGTCCGGAGTAAAATATTAGCATTGATGCAAGCATAACTTTGCTGTAGGAACAGCAGTAATAGTGATAACGGTAACAAAAATATTGATGGTAATAGTAAGATGATTATTGTTAATATGTTTATTATTAATATTACTGATTTTACTGCTGTTATTATTGTTGCTATTATTATTGTTATCGTTATTAATATTTTATCGTTATTATTATTATTTTTACGAATGGGCACAGTATTATTGTTGTTTCAGCTTGATTTTCAACAGTCCCTGCTTTTGAACATCTCTGATCCCTCATCACTAATAATATCGGTTATGAACAGCAGTGGTGTGGCAAAATGCATTGTAACTGGTACATCTGTTTGTATCGTGCTGTTGGATAATACATATCCTTTCATACATCGTGCAGTACTTGAGAATTAGCGTTGAAACCAAGCCTCCGTTTAAGGTTTTTTTCTCTTTCACAAATTTAAAAAAGTTAATTTCAGTGTGTTTTGCACTTCAGAAATACTGTTTT